TTCTCTGTTCTACTTTTCCCCGCTTCTAACTAGTGCACTTGACTAGTCTTAAAATAAAAAAATAAAAATAGGCCAGGCACGGTGGCTCATGCCTGTAATTCCAGTACTTTGGGAGGCCAAGGTGCGCCGATTACGTGTGGTCAGGAGTTTGAGATCAGTCTAGACAACATGGCGAAACTCCATTTCTACTAAAAATACAAAAATTAACTGGGTGTGGTGGCGGGCATCTGTAGTCTCAGCTACTTGGGAGACCGAGGCCCGAGAATTGATTGAACTTGGCAGGCAGAGGTTGCACTCCGGGTGACAGAGTCAGAACTTGTCTCAAAAACAAGTAATTAATTAATTAAAAATTTAAAAATAAAAGTAAGTTATCTACCTTGTTCACTCTTCCTGTGCCTACAACTTAGGAGGTGCACAATAAATATTTGCTAATTCACACACACACAGACACACATGGTATTTGGCGCAGAGAGAGATTATCATGGTGATTCTAAAAATCTGTAGCACTCATAGTAGTATGTGTTGATCCAAATTTTTTTTTTTTTTTTTTTTTTTGAGATGGGGTCTCACTCTGGAGTGCAGTGTCATGATTTCAGCTCCCTAAACCCCTGCCTCCCCGGTTCAAGAGACTTTTCTGCCTCAGCCTCCCAAACAGCTGGGATTACAGGCATGTGCCACCATACGTGGTTAATTTTTGTCTTTTTAGTAGAGACAGGGTTTCTCTATGTTGGTCAGGCTGGTCTTCAACTCCCAACCTCACGTAATCCGCCGCCCTCAGCCTCCCAAAGTGCTGGGATTACAGGAGTGAGCCATTGCGCTCCGCCAAGTTGATACAAATTTTCTAAAGATAAATGTTATGATCTTTTTTTTTTTTTCCATATTGTTAGTAGAGATGGAGTCTTGTCATATTGGCCAGGCTGGTCTCAAACTGCTGACTTCAAGTAATCTGCCCCCCTTGGCCTCCTAAACTGCTGGGATTATAGGTGAAAGCCACAGTGCCCGGCCACCATCTATTTAAAAAAAAAAAAAAAAAAAGCAGCTTCAGAAATATCATGACATTCAATTCAAGAAGCCTACCTTTAGGGTTGAATAGGATATTCAGGTAAATATTTATTTACAGAAGTGTCTTTGTAGCATTATATAGCAATGGGAAATATAAGGTTTGATTAAATATATTATGAAGCCATAAAAGAATAAATTGTTATAGCAAAAAAAAAATTGTTAGAGCAATTAAATCACTATAGAAAAGGGTGTGCCATCTATTATTAAATTTGAAAAGTAGGTAACAAACTAGCATGATCAGTATTCCTTATACAAGGTAAAACTAATGGCTGGGCGCAGTGACACACTCCTGTAATGCCAGCACTTTGGGAGGCTGAGGTGGGCAGATCGCTTGAGCTCAGGAATTCGAGACCAGCCTAGGCAACATTGTGAAACCCCATCTCTACAAAATACAAGCAAAAAAAAATTCAGCTGAGCGTGGTGGCACACCCCTGTAGTCCCAGCTACTCAGCTACTCAGGAGGCTGAAATGGGAGGATCACTTGAGCCCAGGAAGGACGAGGTTGCAGTGAACCCAGATAGCGGCCTGCACTCCAGCCTGGGCCACAGAGTGAGACCCTGCTTCAAACAACAACAACAAAGACCTCACCTCCAACTTCACCTTCTCAACCCCTCCTCACCTCCAACTCCAAAAACAAACAAACAAACAAACAAACAACTTTGTAAAGTGTGTACTCCAGAATATCTACCATTATTATTGCTTGGTTGTGAGATTATAGATGTTTCAGAGTTTCTTCTATGTGCTTATCTACGGTTTGTTTGTTTGTTTGTTTTGAAATGGAGTCTCACTCTATTGCTCAGACTGGAGTGTAATGGTGTGAGCCGCTGCGCTTGGTCTTATATAGGTATTTTTACATGTCTACAATAAACTGATGAAACAACATGTTGTTTTACTTTGTTTCATTTTAAAATACTGTTTAAAATTATTATAAGGAAACCAAAGTGGATTTCCTAAGGACTCATAGCTACAGAAAATCTCAAAGCAGAAAATGTAAAACTTGCAAGTGAATTAGAATCACAAAAAGTCTGAATATTTTCTCTTCATTGTTGTTACCCAAACATTTATCTCAAGTGGAAACACTTCTCTCTGGGCTCCAAAAGAGATTTGTAAAATTGCTACTGCCTGCCAAAAGAAATTAATATTGCAAATAATAATTAGGCTAACAATGAAAACTCTGGGGGGTAAATGAAAAAACCACAATTCACAATTATCCTTGAGTGGAATCTGCAGAGATTGGAGGTAAGTGGAGAGCTCTTCTTTCAAAGTCAAATCAAATCAATGGTGTTAAGCACCACAGCATGGACAGGTCCCACTGAACTAAACTCCGAGGAAACACAAAATGTGTGACCCAAAGTCCTTGTTCGCCAAAGACAATACTGATGTAGCGGAGGAAATTCATGTTAGAGAATGGTTTGCAGTGAGTAGGAAGGATGGCGTAGAGGTGAATAGTGGGGTTGTGGGTAGTGTGGATTGTCATTCTCTTGATCTGAACCAGGGGTTGCAAACGCATAATCTGAAATTTGAATCAGCCCTGCAGACAAATTAAAGCATTTATAATGCTTAAAAATATGCTAGAGACCAGCTGGGTGTGGTGGTGCAAGCCTGTAATCCCAGCACTTTGGGAAGCCAAGGCAGGCAGATCACTTGAGGTCAGAAGTGGCCAGCCTGGCCAACATGGTGAAACCCCCATCTCTACCAAAAAGTATACAAAATTAGCCAGGTGTGGCAGTGTGCGCCTGTAATCCCAGCTACTCGGGAGACTGAGGCAGGAGAATCGCTTGAACCTGGGAGTCCGTGAGCCGAGATCGTGCCACTGCATTCCAGCCTGAGTGACAAAGCGAGACTCTGTCTCAAACAAACAAACAAAAAAGTTAGAAACCTGTTTAGCTCATTTCAAGCGTAGCACAGAGCAGCTAGTCCGAATCACAAATTTAAGTTTTCTGTTCCTACAGGTATGGTTTTTGATTCTTGTATCTAAACTATCCTTGAATCCCTACTTGAAAGTCGACCAACATTTGTCAAACAAAAAAAATCTAGAGAATACTGCTTTTTAATGGCCAACATGAAAGTGCTGTGCTACTAAATTATTTATTTATTTATTTATTTATTTATATTGAGATAGGGTCTCTTTCTGTCACCCAGGCTGGAGTGCAGTGGTATGATCATGGCTCACCACAGCCTCCATCTGCTGGGCTTAAGTCACCCTCTAGCCTCAGCCTCCCATGTAGCTGGGAACACAGGTGCACACCACCATATCCAGCTAATTTTTTGATATTTTTGTAAGGACAGGGGTGTCACTCTTGCCTGAGCTGGTCTTAAACTCCTGAGCTCAAGAGATCCTCCCACCTCGGCCTCCCAAAGTGCTAGGATTATAGGTGTGAGCCACCATACCCAGCCTACTAAATTTTGATAATGGTAACTTCTGCAATTCTCAGGAAATAGCTCCTAGGTAGGATTTCCTCCTAGGCCACTTTTCTCTTTTCTTTTTTTCCCCCTTCCCTTTCCCCTTCTTCCCCTTCCCCTTCCCTTTCTTCTCCTTTCAGAAGGAGTCTCCCTGTCACCCAGGCTAGAGTGCAATGGGGTGTTCTGGGCTCTCTGCAACCTCCATCTCCCAGGTTCAAGCGATTCTACTGCCTCAGCCTCCGAGTAGCTGGGGTTACAGGAGTGCAACAACACACCTGGATTTTTTGTAGAGATGGGGTTTCACCATATTAGGTCAGGCCAGTCTCCAACTCCTGACCTCAAGTGATCTGCATGCCTCAGCCTCCTAAAGTACTGGGATTATAGGAGTGAGCCACCACACCTGGCCTCTAGGCCACGTTCTTAAAGCTTTGCCTTGTCACCATTTACCTGCCAAGGACAAAAACAAAGAAACAAACAGAAATAAGCCAATATCAAGTAGAAGAAAAAGCAAAACAAATTAAGATTCTATTCTTCTAGGAAGGTAGGTATAGATAAGTTCCTATAGGACTCTAATGGCCAGGATACTGAATTTAGACTTTATCCTGAAGACAACAGAGAGTCTTTCATACGGAGACAGACTAGAAATGTAAAATCAGTCTCTAAATTTCAGAAACAAGGCTGAGTGCCATGGCTCATGCCTAGAATCCTAGCACTTTCGGAGGCCGAGGCGAGCGGATCACTTGAGGGCAGCAGTTTGAGACCAGCCTGGCCAACATGGTGAAAGTCCGTTTTTACTAAAAATACAAATAGCCAGGTGTGGTGGTGGGCGCCTGTAATCCCAGGTACCCAGGAAGCTGAAGCAAGGGAATCACTTGAACTCAAGAGGCAGAGGTTGCATTGAGCCAAGGTCACACCACTGCACTCCAGCCTGGGCAACAGAGTGAGACTCAGTCTCAGAAACAAAATCTAGGCCAGGCGTGGTAGCTCACGCCTGTAATCCCAGCACTTTGGGAGGCTGAGGTGGGTGGATCACCTGAAGTAAGGAGTTTAGGAGAAGCCTGGGCAACATGGTGAAACCACGTCTCTACTAAAATTGCAAAAATTAGCTGGGCATGGTGACATGCGCCTGTAGTCCCAGCTACTCGGGAGGCTGAGGCAGCAGCATCACTTGAACCCGGGAGGTAGAGGTTGCAGTGAGCCGAGATCACACCACTACACTCCAGCCTGGCTACAAAGTGAGACCGGTCTCAAAAAAAAATAAATAAATAAAAAATAAAAAATAAAAGAAAAAGAAACAAAAATCTATTGATAAGAGTTCATTTTAAAGATCATTCTCCACACTTAGAGCATGGAATCATGCCTGTCAGCAATTTTGGTCAGTCTCCAGATTAGTAACTGTGACTTGCCACCCTGGCTGATGGGCTGGCAGGAAGGAGTGTGTCATATCAGAGATTGCCATAGACACCCAGGGCAATATGATTTGTCACTTAAAGAGGGAGGCAGATCAAGAGCATCTCATCCTCCGGCTGCTGAGTCATCCTGCTCTGGCAGTTATTTAAACAGAAGCCTCCAGGAGACATACAATCAACACTCCACTCAGACAATGCCCAGACCTCCAGAAATCATGTGTCAAGCTTGGATTGCCTTAGACAGGTGCAATTTTAAAACAGCTTTCATCCTCTTTTCTCTCATATTGTCACACTATGAGTTCTGACTTCTGGCTCCTTTCCTCATAAGAAGCTCACCCAGCTGGAACTCTTATGGGACCTTGGCACCAGAGATCACCAATTCCTCTTTGAAGTTTTCTAACAGCATCAATGGTATTTCTGACTTGGCTTTCTTGTATTTCTCTCACATTAACAAAACTGGTTGAGCATCTACCACGGGCTACATGCTGAGCTACAGGTAAGGTTTGGCTAAAGGATGAATAAGACCCACTCCTTGTCTTCAGGAGTTTGTGTAGCAGAAGAGTTTGTCAAGTAATCAGGAAACCCCCATACACAATGGGATAGCTCTAAGACAGATATATACAAGATGATGCTCTGGACCATAACTGTTTGGGGAATACCACTGCCTTTGTCTAAAAGCCATCACCCTTTTTATATGCCATTTGGGAGGAAGTAGGGGGACGTGGGAGGCTTCTAAGGGCTATGGGAGGATGGACATTTTAAAAGGACTTTTTTTTTTCTTGAGACAGAGTTTTGCTCTGTCACCCAGGTTGGAGTGCAGTGGCGCGATCTCGGTTCACTGCAAGCTCTGCCTCCCGGTTTCACGCAATTCTCCTGCCTCAGCCTCCTGAGTAGTTGGGACTACAGGCGCCCGCCACCACACCTGGCTAATTTTTTTGTATTTTTAGTAGAGACGGGGTTTCACCTTGTTAGCCAGGATGGTCTCGATCTCCTGACCTCGTGATCCACCCGCCTCAGCCTCCTGAAGTGCTGGGATTACAGGCGTGAGCCACCGCGCCCTGCCACAGGCCTTTTCAAATCTAACGATGTATTCGCATTTCCACCTGTCTGCCAGCCCTTGTCCAGTTTGACCTGGGCACTCACTGCTGCTTTGGTGGTGAGTACTGTTGATGGTTCTTTTCCCTGCCCATCCTTGAGGTGCTCCTTTCAATATGTCAAATGAGGACTCCCATTACATTTGACTGTCATCCATCAGCCACAACTGTCCTGCCCAGAGGAGCTGGCCTTGGTTTTAAAGCCTACATCCTGGCTGACCTTCTTTACTGCTTTATTAAGGAACCTGACTTGCTGTTTGATATCACATGTGCTACAGGTGCTGTTGATGAAACTGCCAAAGGAGCTGAATATGACTGACATCTTTGGAAGGATGAGACTTAGCGTGCCCGTACAGTTGTGTCCAAATGCTGTCCTTATCTCCCAATGGAAAGGTATTGTAAATAAAGAGAAAGGTCAGAAGCTTATTTTAAACACTAAATATGAGCTAGGAGCTGTCCTAGACACTATGTAAAAGTTTTATTTAGTTCTCACTGTAATGTTGGCCTTATGTTATTATCCCAGTTTTTAGACTGAGGAAATTATGGCTCAGAGAGGTTAAGAGACCTATTGAAGATCACACAGCTCCACAAACTTTTGTGTAGACTGAATGTGTACATGGGTCTATGTGACTTTGAATCTTGTGTTCTTTACCTTAGTGGACTATTTCACAGAAGGAAAATGAAATATTAACATGGCAATAACATTTCTGGTTCCAGTCTGATTATTGGTTTTCCAAGAGTGTTATAGGATGTATAGCCTGAGTCTCTGAAGCTTTGTTCTGAAGCATGCTATCAATATGAACAAATTGGTATGGAAGGAAGCCACAAATTATACTAAAATCTAGTTCATCAGAGGAAAATATTGTTAAATACAATTACATTCCCAGAACTGTTCATATTGAAGAATAAAACACACAGTGGGAAAGAGACGAAGAGAAAATATGCCTGTTTTTATGACTTGTTGATATCTATGGGGTTTTTCCTTAAGCCTCACAACAATTTCCAGCATTGCCAGCAGCATTCAGTACATTCAGAACAGGATCATTTCACCCGCAGCTGAACTAGGGCCATGCCTGGGACAGACAGAGAATGGCCTTCCAGCAGACATGCCAAGGAGCAAGCCAGGGTCAGTGAGTGAAGAGGAGGGCAGGCCCATTTGAAGCAACACAGTTTATGTAAGTGTGATCTAACTGCTTTCACTGGAAATGGGTCAGGTTCCAGTTGAGAGAACCAGGGGCCTGAATGACCCCAGCAAAATCACTGTGGCATTTCTTTCAATCACCTCCGAGAATATGGCCCTGTGACGACATAATGACACTTGGATTCATTTCAGTCGGCCGTGTTTCCTCCTCCTTTCTTGCTTCCCCATAGTTGATTTGCCAAATTTTTTTTGTTTGCTTAAATACGCTAAACTAAACAGGATACATTATACGACAGTCCGTGATAAATTTACCACTGGGAAAAGGGAAAAAGTATGGGATAAAGAAATAGGTCTTTTTCGCCTCTCACAGCTGTGATTCAGTTCTGACTCAAAAGGAAGTGTGCCACCTACTGAATCACGGAAACCACTTCCTGTGGTTGTTTGGTTTATTCTGGAGGAGCATCAGGCCAAGTGCTGCCCTGCCCTGACCCTGACTGGCTCTTCAGAGCCAAGGCATTCACAGCTTGAGGTGGTTTGGCCTCAGACTCTTGAGAACATTGCATATTAAATTACAAGTGTTTCGTTTCCTAGCAAGGAGTCTTTAGCAACATGAAAACGAACATGTGTTATTTGCAAACCAAGTGTATCATTACTGAACCTGAATAGCCTTACTTTTTCATAAGGTATGTATTCCGGATGACCACTCTTAAGATCCGAATGTACACTGGTTCTGTTTATCCTGAGGGGAACTTGGGCAGTCTGCAGGGTGGCGTTTCCCAGCTGAGGGACTTCAAGAGCACCCCTTACTCAGTGAAGCAGCACTCAACTTGTATTCACTCACTCAACGTATTTCTAAGCATGTACTTATTGCCATGTGCTGTGCTAGGAAGGAGTAAGGATAGAGTGGCGAACAAGACCCCACAGCTCCTGACCTCATGGCTCATGTGTTCCACACCGTAAGGGAATTATGCTCTGTCTCTCGGGGCAGGGACCTTCCTCTGTTCACCATGCAACCCCAGCATCTAGCACCTGGCCTTGCATAAAGCACCTCTAAATCAGGCTTGTCCAACCCAAGGCCCACGGGCCACATGTGGCCCAGGATGGCTTTGAATGCAGCCAAACACAAATTTGTACACTTTCTTAAAACATTATAAGATTTGTGTGTATGTGTTTTAGTCCATCAGCTATTGTTAGTGTTAGTGTATTTTATGTGTGGCCCAAGACAATTCTTCTATGTGGCCCAGGGAAGCCAAAAGATTGAAGACTCCTGCTCTAAATACTTGTTTGTTGAATAGATACGGGAAAAGAAAGAAGGAGGGAAGGAAGAAAGGATGGAGGAAGGAAAGAAAGAAGGGTGGGAAGAAGGGAGAAAGGAAGGGAAGAAAGAAGAAGAGAAAGGAAGAGAAAGAAATTATGGCCAGCGCGGTGGCTCACGCCTGTAATCCTAGCACTTTGGGAGGCCAAAGCAGGCTGGTCACCTGAAGTCAGGAGTTCATAGGCCAGCCTGGCCAACATGGTGAAACCCCGTCTCTACTAAAAATACAAAAATCAGCTGGGCATGGTGGTACATGCCTGTAATCCTAGCTACCTGGGAGGCTGAGGCAGGAGAATTGCTGGAACCCAAGAGGCGGAGGCTGCAGTGAGTTGAGATCGTGCCACTGCACTCCAGTCTGGTCAACAGAGTGAGACTCTGTCTCAAAAAAGAAAAGAAAAGAAAAAACTAAGGACGTTACCATTAATTTTTTGTTGTATTTGCAAGCAAAGACAAAAGCACCAAGGTACTTGTTTCCTTCTGTAATTCGATTTTCAAATAGACTAAAAGTTTCTGCTCTTAGGTGGGTCTGGAGACTCTGCAGTACCTCAGGACCTCAGAACACATGTGGTCTCTTGGTTGCTTTCTTTTTGTTGTTGTTGTTTATTTTTATTTTTTACTTTTAAAACAATTTTTTTGTAGATGAATATGCTTACATATGTTTGGGTTTTTGTTTTTGTTTTTGTTTTTGTTTTGAGACAGGGTCTTGCTCTGTTGCCCAGGCTGGAGAGTAGTGGTTTGATCACAGCTCACTGCAGCCTCGACCTCCCAAGGTAGGGACTACAGGTGTGGCACTGGGGCACACCACCACACCCAGCTAATTTTCAATTTTTTTTGTAGATAAGAGTCTCACTCTGTTGGCCAGACTGGTCTTTGAAATCCTAGGCTTGAGCAATTCTCCTGCCTTGGTCTCTTAATGCGTTAGGATTACAGGCGTGAACACCGCACCCTGCCAGCATGTGGTCTCTTAACCAGAGGAGGCCTCTTCTGAACTAGGTAGAGGTCCTGAGAATCGATTCTGAGAGTAAAAGGCTCTTTGTTCTCCTCAGAATAGATCAGAATCCCTAATGATGGAGCATCTATTATTCCTCTAGTGGTCCATGCCCAAAAGATTCATCCAAGAATGGCTGAAGAGCTGTGTAATGTTGAGCAAGTAATCTAATCACCCCACAGAAGAGTTATGACTTGAATTATCCCAGAGTTGGCCCACCTGTTTTCATAAAGATCAGTGTAACTTGTAAGTTTCCCCAGTTCTCCTCGCCTATCATCATTTGACCAACAAAAAACAGAAAACTAGGCTAGTTACGGTGACCCATGCATATAATCCCAGCTCTTTGAGAGGTCAAGGTGGGCGGATTGCTTGAGTCCAGGAATTTGAGACCAGCCTGGGCAACAAAGGGAGACTCTGCCTATATCCCAGCTATGCAGGAGGCTGAGGCAGGAGAATTGCTTGAACCTGGCAGGGCGCAGGTTGCAGCAAGCTGAGATCACGCCACTGCACTCCAGCCTAGGTGAGACTCTGTCTCAAAAAAAAAAATAAAAAGAAAGAAAGAAAGAAAAAGAAGAAATCCCAATCTCTTCTTTTATGTAGATTCCTCCTCACTTGAATAATGCTTTTCTTCCCCAGTATCCTCCATATTATCCCAGAGTCAGCCCCTCTGTTTTTGTAAAGATCTGTGTAACCTCCTCTAAGTTTCCCAGTTCACCTTACCTATCGTATCATTTGGCCCAACGAAGGGCAGGCAGCTAGATTCTAATTGATATTTTGAGGCCGGGAGTGGTGGCTCATGCCTGTAATCACAGCACTTTGGGAGGCTGAGGCGGGCAGATCACTGGAGGTTGGGAGTTCGAGACCAGCCTGGCCAACATGGTGAAACCTCATCTCTACCAAAAATACAAAAAATACAAAAAATTAGCCAGGCGTGTTGTCATGTACCTGTAATTCCAGCTACTTGGGAGGCTGGGGCAGCAGAATTGCTTAAACCTGGGAGGCAGAGGTTGCAGTGAGCTGAGATCATGCAATTGCACTCCAGCCTGGGTGACAGAGCAAAACTCCATCTCAAAAACAAACAAACAAAAAACCCCTGATATTTTCAAAATTGAGGCAGTTATAACAGCTGTTTAGCCAAGAAATATGATAGCAATAATAGCAAGAAAATAAATTGGTTCACAAATGAGTCTCAGAAGTCCAATGATTTTTATTTTATTTCTATTATTTGAAGTTTTATTTTAGAATCAGGGGATACACGTGCACGTTTGTTACCCGGATATACTGCATGATGCTGAGGTTTGGCGTATACATGAATCAAATCTGTTATCCAGGTAGTCAGTATAGTACCCAACAGATAGTTTTTTTCTTTTTTTTTTTTTTTTGAGACGGAGTCTCGCTCTGTTGCCCAGGCTGGAGTGCAGTGGCCGGATCTCAGCTCACTGCAAGCTCCGCCTCCCAGGTTCCCGCCATTCTCCTGCCTCAGCCTCCCGAGCAGCTGGGACTACAGGCACCCGCCACCTCGCCCGGCTAGCTTTTTGTGTTTTGTTAGTAGAGACGGTGTTTCACCGTGTTAGCCAGGATGGTCTCAATCTCCTGACCTCGTGATCCGCCCGTCTCGGCCTCCCAAAGTGCTGGGATTACAGGCTTGAGCCACCGCGCCCAGCCCAGATAGTTTTTTTCAACCCTTACCTCACTCCCTTCCCCACTCTTGTATTCCCCAGTGTCTACTGTTCCCATTTCTATGACTGTGCCAACAATAATATTTTTTCTTTTTTCTTTAGAGATGAGGGTCTCACTATGTTGCCCAGGTTGTCTCAAACTTCTGACCTCAAGTGATCCTCGCACCTTAGCCTCCCAAAGTACTAGGATTACAGACGTGATCCATTGCGCCTGGCCCATGCCAACAATAGTTTAAACCCTTATCTGCATATTCAAGTTTGCTACTGGTTTTGTTTTGCTCATTAATGTATCCCAAGCATCTAAACATGGCATATAGTACCAGCATGTAATAGGTGCTTAATAAATATTTATTGAATAAATAAATTAGTTTGAGACTTAACGTTTCAAATAAAACAGAATACCATTCAATTAATTCTCTTCTACTTTCTTTTAAGAGAGACAAATAGTCACACATACATAGGCAGGAGAGGATGCAATTTCCTGTGTTTACGTTTTTATGATGTTACTTTAGTTCAAATGTCACAGAAAATTATATTGAACTCTTGACCAATCTATCTAGTTTTTCCATTGGAGTATTGACCCAAATAAGAAATAGCATCAAGGAAAAATTATTTTTTGGCAGAAAAATATTGTCTCTAAATTCTTGTGTGTTTTGTTTTGATTTTTTCCTTAGTGACTGGAGGCCAGTTTCAATCCACTGAAGCGCAGATTCCAAATTTTCAATCTGGTTTTCTTGAGTAGTGACTGAGTGCCAAAAATGAAGCAATGACACAACATCACCACCAAGACACTCCCCAGCACGCACACACACACCAGAGTCCACCACCAAGCCACTCCGCAGCACACACACACACACGCCAGAGTCCACCACCAAGACACTCCCCAACATGCACACACACGCCAGAGTCCACCACCAAGACACTCCCCAACACACACACACACACACGCCAGAGTCCACCACCAAGACACTCCCCAACATGCACACACACGCCAGAGTCCACCACCAAGACACTCCCCAGCACACACACACACACGCCAGAGTCCACCACCAAGACACTCCCCAACACACACACACCAGAGTCCACCACCAAGACACTCCCCAGCACACACACACACACACACGCCAGAGTCCACCACCAAGACACTCCCCAGCACACACACACACACGCCAGAGTCCACCACCAAGACACTCCCCAACACACACACACACACACGCCAGAGTCCACCACCAAGACACTCCCCAGCACACACACACCAGAGTCCACCACCAAGACACTCCCCAACACACACACACACACACGCCAGAGTCCACCACCAAGACACTCCCCAACATACACACACACACGCCAGAGTCCACCACCAAGACACTCCCCAACACACACACACACACGCCAGAGTCCACCACCAAGACACTCCCCAACACACACACACACACACGCCAGAGTCCACCACCAAGACACTCCCCAACATACACACACATGCCAGAGTCCACCACCAAGACACTCCCCAGCACACACACACATGCCAGAGTCACAAGTCACATATTTGGGTGACTTGCAAGCTTCTTCCTCCCTAGTATTTACTCTCAAAATAATGGCTTTTTTTTTTCCAAACAAATTTCTTGCTTATATCTTTAACCAATTCTCATAAAATTTTTGTCTAATACACTGGTTAGTGTATTCCAGACCCTAAAAGATAACATAATGAAACTATCTATGACTAAAAGGTAATCGTATCTTCTAGTTATCCTTTTTTTCCTTCCTTTTAAACCTTAATTTTGATACATTTGGGAGTGAAATGATGACAATAAATGCAAAGTAATTATTGAAGAAACAATAATTTTGTATTAGCTTACTGGAAAAAAAAAAAGATAACCAAATATATTTTGGCAGCCCCAAACAAGTCACATGTGTAATGCAGTGGGAGAGCAGTGCCCTGAAGGAAAAGGTGGCCTGCTGGACTGCCAAGAGAACAGACGTCCGCTACAAGTAATATGAGCCGTAAGTCTGGACGAGGCCCATGTCTGCTGTGAGGCTTGGGGCAATTCACTTAATCAGAGCCTTAATCAGCTACGGACTAACAATATCCATACCTGCTACTTATTTTGTAAATCTCCTTTCTAAAGTTAACTCTATTCGTTGTTCCATAATCCCATAAATTCTAGACTCTTTTCCTGTTACAGCCAAGTTGTCTATCATTGACAGAGATCCTCACCTGGTGGTTTTGGTTTCTCTAATCCTCCTGGTGAGAACACCTCCAAGGGAGCTTTCAATGGCATTTAAGGTCACTTGTGCTCTTGGGCCTAGAAACTGCCTTGATAGTGGTTTTAGCCCACATGAGGTAAGTCTTTATTGTATGCCCAACCTCTTTATGCATTACTTCATTTAATTG